TGCTATGTATTAAAACCCTCAGTAAAAATACTAAAAGTTCCATACGTCACTATCGAAACGCTTAAATGTAATAAAACATCTAATATCCCTTATTTCAATTAATTTCAATTATTATTATTAATGTTTATTTATTTAATTAATTTATTTCATTATAATTTAATTGTTATTACTATTTCAATTATTTCAATAATTGTTATTGTCACTGTTATCGTTATTATTATCATTATTATTATTATCATTATATATTTTTTTCATCATTCAATTTCCCCAGAAAGAGTTTAAACATTGACCCCTCACAGAATTTAACCTCCCCTCAATCCCAACAAGATTGTTATAGGAACTGTGTGGAAAAAAAATATCTATCATAAAGCTGTGGACAAAATCTCGCTTAACAAGATGAGGAAAACGTTACTACTTCTGATAAGGTGAAAAAAGGTGAAGTGCTCCTTTGATATTTTAATTCTAATCCCCATGTGGTATGTCGTTGATCATTAGAAATACCAGAGTCGATCATTTTCCATCGGCACCTCAAGGTCAGCAGAGAGACTTTTGGAACTCTTAAAAGATCCTGATTACGTGAACACTGGTACAGGCAACAGAGCAGAACAGAACTCGTCTGCCACATTTTCAGAACCAGCTACTGTTCCCAGTGTCATATCCAACGTGTCAGCCTGTGAGGTAAGTCAGTAATGGTCATGTCATTTGTAGGACTAGTAGTGAGTTTACGAAAGAAAGATCTTGGAAGACTTAGGAAGCCCATTCCTGCATCTTCTGTTTAACTCTTGAACTCCTCAGAGTGATTGACTTCTGACTTCTTCTTACAGTAACACCCTTAGATCAAATGTGAAAGTCATGAGAATAAAGTAAATGATCTCAAATTGAAAAAAGTTTCTGATTTTCAAACAATTCTCCTTGTTAGCACCATTGGAAACGTATAGAGAACAGAATGATGAAACTGAATGCTAATATTAGGGTGTGAAGGGTCGATGAAATTTTTTTCCTCCCCCTCTTCGCCACTACCTCTCATGGATAGTTACTCTCCGATTGCTTTATACATTTAAGTTTTCCAAAGTTGTTCTAAGTTTCCTGCAAAAATTAGTTTTCTCATGTTAAGGTCTATTTATGATTAAGTCTTTTTTGAGGTTTTTCATAACAAAAGATTCATTTCATTTTATCTCCGGTTGTGAATAAAATTTTGCGCAATTTTTTTCCAGCGTGGTCACAGCACTTCAAGCTCCTGTAGGGACAATATCACAAAGTCAGGAGACCACACCCATCCAAGTAAGGTTTCATTTGCAATGACCAAACCGTTAATTTTCATCAGCCCTCCAAAGGAAAACACTGAGTCGACTCCCAACGAGGTAAAATACCTGCTCTGAGCTACACTAAACTTGTCTTCACCGCCCCAAATTGGTCCAAATTGAATAATCAAACCAAATGCAATGGGTCTGAAACTTAAGATTAAGATATCTGTCCCGAGGTGGGATGTGTGAGATGTGGTTCAGCTGCGGTAAGGGTGCTGGATCCCGACTTTCTATACGTTGTGTTCTTGGGGATGGCACTTTACTCTTTCCGCGAAGCCTTAAACCCTTTACACACTAAACTCATCGTGTACATATTCTACATACTGTTCTATATTCATCAGCTATGGTTTAACAATGAGAATTCGTTTGACATTCAAGGGGCTTTCTTAGTTGGTGATCATTTTCTTTATATTCATGTTCTTTAATGATGATTCAGCTTAGAAACTGTACGAAGAAATCGAATAACAGTTCTTACTAGGGGTTAGAGAGTGAATGCGTTCTCGTAGGTTGTCAAGAAAAACCTGACGAGATACTGAAGGTAAGCCAAGAAGAATAGTAGCGCTTCCAGAAATCTCATAGCAGTTTCCATGATGAACAAGGCAGCCATGTGAGATCGGTCTTCCATGCAGACTTTTTTTAAAATATTTCCGTAGGATTGGCCTCAGGATGAAGAAACAAAGAAAATAGTCGATGAAACTGAATTTACTAAGTCAAAACATACTCCAGCGATACTTCATCAGGTCCAAGCGTTTGAACAAGGAACACTAAACACCAGCGACGAAGAAGAAAATGATAAAAACAAACTAATGAGAAACGAACCCAGAAAGCTGAGACACATTTCACTCAACGCCACTGCATCACAGAAAATGAAAACTTCCGAAGAGCGACGAAGACGAGAAAATGAGATCCGACCTTTAGGCGGGGTGATCAAGGTGGGTTTTAGGGTGCTACCCAGTCAGAGGTGGATTCCTTTACTGCGTTAATATGAAAGGGGGTACGGTGCTGATACAATCACATTGGCCACGCTTAAAGAAACCTATATCCTTCCAAATCGTTAGTTAAGAGGCTGCGGTTCCCAGAGACGATATCAGACATTACTTAGCTAAGGGAATCAAACCGAAATGGAAAATTCTTAAAATATGTTTACGTTTAGTGGCACACACTCACAGTTATGGAGTGATGATGATGTGCTTGTATACGTGAATTCATAAACCAAATTCAGGCCCACTTTATATGATATTTTTCTATAAGTGTTTGCGTGCTCGAAGCANTGCACAGGTTACTAAGATGTTTTCAAAATGCCGGCGTCTGGAGACAAATTTTCAACTTATTATTTGCACACGGCCTCGAAACATTAAACTCTGCTATTTGATTTTCAAGGGCAAAACGAGAACAACGAACTCTGTATTCCCCTCATAAACGTATATGTGAGTGAGTTAATTACCTTGAAAAACATTTCTAACACGGAGTGAAATTCGTCAATCCTCGACGTCAAGTTGAAACCAAACGTCGAAATCAGCAACCTTGAAGAAACACAAAGTGGCCTTAACAAAGTAGATGATATCCAAGTTAACGGGGGTAAAATTACGTGCTTTCTGGCCCTAGAGAGGCTGGCAACGACGCCCTGAATCTTCTGTAGTTAGTAAACTCTTTCCACGTGGAAGATTGATCGCAAATATGAATATCAATTTTACACATTATTTGAAATGCAAATGATTTTATCGACTACGAAGGTCTCAAGAGGACCGAAAATAATCGAAAATCTCTTCGGTCACTTTCGTTTACGAAATGAATTGACCAACTATCGACTGCTTTTAAAGTTCAACAGAGAGGTGAAAATATTGTTTTGATAGCAGAAATGCTGAATGCAATTTAAATAAATTCGAATTTGATCTCTTTTGTCTCGGCATTTTGAAGCAGCCGGGTCATACCGTACTTAGTCAACATGGAGGTAGTTGTATTTTCGCCTCTTTCTGATTGAATAAAAGCACTTCATTTCCCACAATATCGATAAGGCCAACCCATAAAATTTTCTTTTCTCAGCATTCGACCCACCCTTACAAGCTTGGTTTTGGAAACAAACTCCTTTCACGGCATTAACCCTATGTCAACCGTATGTCATAGTGGAACAGTGTCGTGGAACAACTCTCCGCCACGTAAACTATCTTGTGTCATCGTAACATCCATATGTCAAAGTAAACCTAAAACGAACTGATAATTTTTACACTTGAAGCCTTCTGATACAAACCAACGTGCTAGGAACGCCACCTCATCGTCACATGAAAGGGACGATTTATCATGCGACGCAACCAAGGTCCAAAGGGTCTCAAAACTTTGCTAACGATATTTTATTCCACTTCCCTTCCCTGTGCAAAGTCAAGAAATGAAAAATTTTATGTCCCCCTGAGATTGCACTGTGGTAATATCCGATAGTGAAAGCCGGAGGAATGGGTCAGTGGCGGAAACCTATTTAGTCATTAGGTTTTTACGAATTTTCTGACACAGTTTGTCCAATGCTGTCAGAATTTGTGATTGACTCCAACCATCAAAACTTAAGCTAGAGTAACTAACACTCAATCTGATCAAAGTTGCAACAGACAAATTCACTCTTAAACTGATGCTATTTAAGATGGTTACTCTTATACCATGATTATAAAAACTTGATAATCAAACAGTTCTAGACACTTAGTCACAGCCCTTCCCGTAAAAAAGGAATAATTTAGTTAGGACGTGAAACCTTCCGATTCTCGAGGTAAATTGCATTGTCCTAAGTTTTTATCAGCATTGAAAATTTTTTTAAGCACCAGATAATGTTTTTTTTTAGAATTTTGCTAAGAAACTAAATAATTTTTTTCC